TTTGTTTCCGTCTCTGTGCACGTTGCATTTGAAATAATCCTGAAATAAAATTCCAATAAAGTCTATTGCATACAGATTAATACCAAGGGTTCATTATACCAAACTGATTAATGCTCCATATGAAATAAAATATGTTGGTCTTCTTTTTGGCACTAAGAAAATTCTGTTTCCATACTGTCATATACACACAAAAAGACTTCCTGTTCCAAAGTGACTTACTTCTTTTTGGAAGTAAGAATNGTGAGAGGAAGGTTGTAGGTGCCACCAGAAGGCATTTAATTTTACTGAGACGTCGGTAATCTAGAGTGGGACCCCCCCCCCAGTTATCCAGGTTGGCACCAGAGGATTGGTGTGTATCGGGCAGAGTTAAATTACCTGCAGATAACGGGAAAGGTTTTGCAGTTCTATGGTAGTAGAACAAAAGGCAAGGTTCCCGGGGAATTGTCAACTGCCCAAGGAGAAATTTTTGATCAAATGCTAACAGCTTTTAAGATAATTAGTAATCTAACAAAAACTTCCAACTTTTTTTCTGCATTTTTTATTTTATTTTATTTATATTTTTTTATTATTTTTTTTTTCCTACTTGCTTTGATTCTGTTTTATCTTCCTGTATTTTAATCATGTAAAACACTTTGCATTGTCTTTGTACTGAATTGTGCTATACAAATAAATTTGCCTTGCCTTGCCTTGCCTTGCCTTTTGGCACTAAGAAAATTCTGTTTCCATACTGTCATATACACACAAAAAGACTTCCTGTTCCAAAGTGACTTACTTCTTTTTGGAAGTAAGAATAGTGCAGCAAGAGTTCAAGTAAAATGAGAAAATCATTGTTTTTTTCCAACTGTGGCTTCTCCTCGTTGAAACCCTTTAAAATCCAGAATGGAATTGAAAAAAGAGAAAATTCTCCACCAAATGTTTATAGTTTGCCCTGCGACAGAGTGCTGACCTGTACCAGGCTGCTCCTGCCCCAAAACTGCATGAGTTTCAGTGTATTCTCATTATTAGTTCGTATGAAATCATACGAAAAGTTATGCACCGCAATTTTGTACGTTTTAGACGTTTTTTTGTCGCATTTCGTCGCATTTTTACGTCTTGCCTCGAGACAAGATATCCTTGCGCATGCGCATCTTACGCACCATTAAATAACATAGAATTTAACATACAATTAACCCTAACCCAAAGATACAAAACAGCAAGCAACGTAGTTAGAGACCTGAAGAAGTGATTATTGCACTGTTTTTCCCAGTTTTACGTCCGTCCACGGATCTGCTTTTTTCGTCTGTCTGCCTGCGCATGCGCACTGATCTGTATTTTCGAGTAAAAACGTCCAAAACATACGAAATACTGTGCATAACTTTTCGTACGATTTCATACGAACTGATAATGAGCCCACAATGACTAGAAGAGTAGTGAATGGATTGGTTATATAAAAATTAATGATAGTCAAGTTCCATCATCTATCAGAGATCAGATTTTTTCATATTTTCCGTCAAAAAAAGTAGTCTGAAATCGCAGGTTTGAAGCTGGTAGAATGGAAGGCAGATCTTTTAATTGTCCAGCTACTCTTCTGTGTAACGAGCGTCTGCTTACTGTACATGAGGCAGACACCCTCTCTTTTAAAGAACTATATTCTAAGTATCTCTTTTGTACAAAGTGTACAGTTAGATTTACTTTGGTTATCCTGTGTCACCTTTGTAGTTAAACTGTTATAGGCTTATGCTGCTGGAGGACATAACGACCACCTTCTCTCACTCTGGAAGTGTCTGTTCTTACTCTCCAATTATGCATTATCTGTTTTTATCGCCAGCCTTTATTTTGTGTTCACTTTATAAGCACCTTAGTCTCTTAATAGAAGGTACACCCTGCCTGACAATCTGTTCAGATATGACACCTTCCTAGGGTTGGAGCATTGTTGGAGCTTTTACTGCCGAAAGATTCGTTCTGTATGTAACTGATGAAACTACTGATACAACTAACTGTCAGGTATTATGTTTTTCATGGCCCAGAAAAATATATCTAGATGTGTTTCTTTTTTCTTTGCTTTCTATTTTAAATAGAAAGTTCTCCTACAGCCACCTACTTTGGCACTGTTTGTGTGCTTGCTCTGTTTTTCTCTAACCTCCAATGGGTTTCAGCAACTGGTCAGTGCCTGGTCATTGTTACTCCATAAAATGTATATGAGGGACTGCTGCAAGGTTAAAGCAAGGAAAATGTTATTATTTGCTCAGTGCTCCCTGAATGCATGTTTGGGGGAGCAATGGCTACAGGGTCTGAGACTCAATAAGAGGAAAAGAGAGAGAGATCTTGCCTTACACAACTAAGGAAAAATACACAAAAAGACTGAAAATACCCTTAATATTCCTACATAGGTAGTTTGCTAACTTGAAGCAACTGTCACAATAAGTCACCTTCTGATGGAGAAAAGCGTCTTTCAACATTTCAACCAAGTTCCTAAGAGGGTAGGTGGTTTAAAACCGTAAACTGAAAGCAAAAAGACCCACAACAAGATCTGGTGATGCAGCCTCTGAGGTTTAAGATTCCACTTTTTGGCTCATTGTAAACACTGAAGAACTGAACATCTGAACTTTAAGACCATAACTAAAGCTGAACCAAGAACAAAGGAAACTATTGTGTCTTTTTGGCACTTTGGTGGTGATAGAACGTCTCTAGCTGTTAGCTTAGAAGAGGAAGGATGAAGCATGTGCTGAAAGCACGCTATAGCTTTAAGAATAGCAGTGACTCTGGGATGATGTGGAGCCACTTGTCTTCCTCCGGCACATGAACATTAAATATGTGAAGGACAAAAAGGATTGAAGTGAGTATCAGAAAATCCTGGAAGGACAAGTCGCATCACCGGTCTGGAAGCTGTAGTTTGAGCATCATGGGACTTTCCAACAAAGGTAATGATACCGAGCTTAACTCAAACTCCAGAAGTAGATTAACTGGAGGCCTTTTGCCGGAAGCTGCCATAAATCCCATATGCATCACAATATAATAGCAGCAGGATGTTGTACTAAGTCCCAAGATGCTTGCTTTTTGTTAAAGGGGCTGAATCCTTTTGAGAATACAATAGTGGTTAAAAGTGGTGTTTTGTTTTATATTTCGATCATCCTTGTAATTTAAGCTGGTTTGAGCTTTTTAAACTATTCCTGTTGAAGTTATTGCAAACTATTTTGTGACTTTTATTCATTGCTTTAGATGCATTGAACTCTGCTTTTTAATGATTAATAGTATAGCAGCAGTAAGATGACTAAACAATAGAATTTTTATATTTATTTCCCAAAATATTTAAGATGCACGTTTCTCCTAAAAGAGTTTTCAATGACCCACTTAAGATAACTGGTCTCCCTACTTCAATTTGTTTGATTTCTTTCTGCTGATAATGTGATTTTCTAGTCAGTAGGTTCCTTTCTTTGCTTTGGGTCTGCAGTCGGCTGTCAGCCCACCATAAAAATCAAACAGCAGGAATCAAACTGATAAATGGTTGAATGGAAATTTTTTGTGTTTTTATATGAAGTTCAGTTTGCAACTTTACACAGTTTTGATCAAATCTTTCAGGTAAATTTGACGCCACAGACATGAAAACACTGAAGTGTAATCAAATTAAATAAGGAATAAGGGGAAGCAATTGTCTTTCTCGCCATACTCTGCTTGATTAAACCTTACGGATGAATCCTTTTAAAAGCCTGATAATGTAACATATTTGGTGCTTTGGAAAATGAGAGAAAATAACTCCAAATATTATTGAATAATCCTCTATGAATGTAATGATAACATGTGTTTGAATTTTCCATGTGGAAAACATCCAGTTTTCATAACAGTGATTACAAGACTCATTATAATGACAGAAGCTAAATGCATGAAGAGGAGAAGGATCTTCATTTCAACTAAATGTCTTTGTGATATTGGAGCTAATAAAAAAGAAATGGAAAAAAATTAACAATAAAGAGGGATTTTTAAAGATGAGAGTGAGGATAGCCCAGGTTTTAACAGGTTTGACATCAATATAAATCATTTATTATAATAATTTAACATTTAATTTAACTCTTTTCAAAAAGCATCTAAACATCTTTTTATTTGAATGTTTTATTCTATTATATTAACCTAAATTCTGTATTTTAAACAAGTCATGAAGACTTATAGCTGTTTTTATTTCTTTTTCTATTTATATTTTTCACTGTAAAATTCTTACTGTTGTGTTTTTATGTAGATAATTTTAAGGGACAACAGATGAAAATTAGCCTTTTGGTTCATTGTGGTGATTTTGCAGGAATGCTTATTGATGTAGACTCTCGCTGTCAAATAAATAAATAAATCTAAACATTAGCAGAGCAGGTTATTTAACCATAATGAACCTTTGCACTGCTGCAAAATGTGATTTTCCCCACTTATAGATGACAAAATGTTCTGAATCTGATTGATCATTATTACTGGCTTAAAAATCAGTCCAGAAAACAAACATTTTTATAAGGATGTTTTTCAACAATTTTTTATTATTTTTATATCTTGTATTTTTTTTTTTTTTTTTTTTTCATCTGCACTGTGCGCATGCTCTTTTCCCTAAACGATATAGGAATACAACATAAAACAAATATCCTCGTCATAGTCTACGTCAAAATAAACAACTAAAATGACAGTCAGAGTGTGTAGAAAATGAGAGACCAACCTACTAAATCGGCATAAATAGGCAGTTTCATGTTGTTGGAACTTTCATTAATTGCTACGTCATCATCTTCATAATAATCATAAATCATAGCCATAACAACAAGAACATTGACGTGAGAATTACAGTAAAAAGTGCACCATCGTAATATTTAACTTAAAAACTATACAGCTGCCAAAGATGAAACTTTTAATGTTAAAATTCTAACAATATAGAAATGTTTCACGATACTTGTTCCACAAAAAAAGGAAGCTACCCTTTAATCTTTTTCTGTCTTGTTGAGGAGGGGGCGCTGGAGGGGTTCAGTTTGGAGGATAAGTGCCATCCTGTTTGTTTTACTGCTGTTTTTCCTGTGGTTTTGACATTTAACAGACCTTCGGTCCTTCCAAATCACCGCCCTCCCTCTTCTGAAGACTCATCTGATGAATCGGGGAGAGAGGTGGCAGTGCACAGGTCTGCCCATCCAGGTTAACCCCCTCAGAGCTCTCTGCCTCTCTCTTTACATTTGTTTGTGTGTTTTCTCACAGCAGTCCTCGCTGACGGGGCCCTGTGAGCCCGCCGTAACCGCGGCCGCCACCGCGCTCGCCCCCCCGCCTCCTTCGCCGCTTCCTCCGCCGCTCCCGGCGCCGGCCTCACGCAGTTCCTTCTCCCTCCTCTCTCGCTCCACCGCCTCCTGTTCGCTCTTGCTGCTGGGGAACTTGTCCTTGTTGTTCTCCTTTTTCCATTTCATCCTGCGGTTCTGGAACCAGATCTTCACCTGGCGCTCTGTTAGCGCCAAGGCGTGCGACACTTCGATGCGCCGCTTTCTGGTTAGATAGGGATTGAAGAGGAACTCTTTCTCCAGCTCCAGGGTCTGGTAGCGGCTGTAGGTCTGCCGGCCTCGCCTTCTGCCAGCAGCTACTGGGTTTGGACACACAAGCACAAACATATGGAGAAAAAATCAATAGCAATAAAAACCTGGAATCATTTCAATCTTCATTAAACAATATCACCGCCTGTGGTTTAATTCATGATCGCCTTTCACAGAACATTTCTGGGTGAGATTGAGATGATATTGGGTGAAGAGGCACTCATGAGTTCAATAAGTATGATTTTAATCCAACTAGAAAACTTGAAACGAACTGGAAGTAGATCCGCAGACGCTCACTGTCGTTTATTTGGCAATTTATCACTAACTGCAACAAAGAAACGAATGTCTGCAGCTTCGTCTGTCAAAATAGTATTAGGCAAGTCTATCCAAGGGTGTGGGGTTTGTTTTCTTTTTTTCTTCAGTCTAAAAAATGTGCATAAGCTCCCACACACACGCACCTGGGCATGCAGACAGGATGACGCCTAAAAGAGGAAAGTAAGTGAAGACATCTTCTAATGATCCGTGTTCAATAAAAACCGATCAAAGAATAAAAATGAGGATTGGAATTTTTAATTTTGCACATTTCAAAACCACCACGAGCCCATTTAATAATTAACTATACTGCTAATTGATAAAAGGATTGTGTAATATTTATTTTCGTATCTGGATTACCTGGGCCATGAAACAGCGGGGTGTTAAATGCGCTGCCTTACAGAGAAAAACAATTTAAATTTAAATTAAAAACACGAGTTTGTTCACTTCTATGTTTTAAAAACGGCGTAAAAGTCGTTGATGATTCATGGTTTGTCAAATAAAAAGCAAAAGTCGCAGCATCCAAGTGTCTTAGGAAAAAAAAAGACCTATATTTCCACTATATTTATTAGTGGAAAACATTGAGAGTAAAGGGACTATAGTTTTTAAACCTGTTTGCAAAAAGCAAAGCCAGAAATGCGCTTTTTGATGTAAACCTGGAGCTGGAGGATGTGCTCTTAGCGCTGCATCAGATCCAAGTTATGGTTCAAATGCAAAGGATGTCCTACACCAGTAATCGATCGATTATTTGATCCAGTTTTTCATCCACAATGTTTTATGTTTCTACAGCACATCTGTCTGAAGGCAGAGGAGAGCTTTTGGTTGCAGAAGGAAAATAAAGGTGGCTTTGTGAACGTGCGCGGACTTGTAGCAGATGTAAATGTTCTGCCTGTGGTCGATGAAACGGAGCGGGTTCGGTTTTAATGGAAAAGAAAACAAATCACCGCTTTTCTGTTACATGCAATTACAGAAAGAGAAAATGTTTTATATTTTTTAACACCATTATAAATGGCTTTTAAGAAGAAATATTCAACTTTTATGTCAGAAAATGTGTTGCTTTGCCATAAAGAAGTTTTTTTTAAATATATTTTACTAGTTTAATAAACGTTAAAAAATGTATAGAGTCGGCTCTTAAAGAGACCTGAGCATTAAGA